CTTTTTAGAAACCGTTCCTTCTGAAGCAAGCCATTGAATACAGCAACGTACTGATGCTCTATGCTGCTTTCGAAAGAGTTAAGCAATTCAACAAATATACATCCAATTGGAGAGTCTGAAGCTCAGATAAAATCGAAATTGGTAGTGTCTGTTAAGTTCCGTCTACCTCAGACAGCTTGTGGTAGTTCCCCTAAACGTAACTGTTTTGGAAACCTGGAACACAAACCCGTTAATGCAATTGGCATAGAAACCAGAGTTTGGTTGGAACATCAAAGGGAGTTTTGCCAAGGCCTTACTGTCTGCACATGAAGCTGTGGTTCTTCAGTGCAGAACAAATGATCTGTTTTCATTTTTAGGCATGTCAGACCCGAACTGGCCTGGAGAGAGTCCTGTACCGCTCACGAGAGCCGATGGCACTAACACTGGGTTCCCACGATATGCAAATGATAGTGTATATGCTAACTGGATGGTTTCACCCTCAGCGGCAAAATTAACGGACACGTGTGATAGTTAACATTTCTTTGTGAAAGGGAACGGACTCACAAGGGGAAGAAATGCCAAGAATGGACATCCACTGGCCCTTTCTCTGTGCACATCACTGGCCTGGCTGAGTTCAGTTCCCAGGTGGCAGACTTGTTTTTGGTAGTTCGTTTGACCTGCTTTCCTAAGCAGTTTCCCCAGCCTTCCGATGGCTGGTGATTGTCCCTCCTAGCCTGGACGTGCCACGCTGGATGAGCGTTCTGAGTCTTGGTGGTTAAGCATTCCTTTGTCTTCAGCACCTGGTGGTGCCAGTGTTGGTCTGTGTCCATCAGTAACCACTACACACTGTGTGCACATACGTGGGTCTGCCATTCACTACCTTGTGTAAGCAATTGTACCTGAACTGTTTGATTTTTCCAGTTGCCACCGAACAAGGCAACAAGGTTTAAACATGAAGCACACACATACAAAATCTGTAGGAGAGACATTGGCTGAAATGGCCTGTCCTGGTTCAGAAGGAGAGCCCGGTGGCGTCTGGGTGGTGGTGTTCAAACCCGACCACGGCTGGAGTGACGAGGGTGCTTCAGGACAGGCCCGAGCTCAGCATTTGAGATCCTGAGAATGTTTTTTTTTAAATTATGTAACCTTTTCTTAGGAAGACATTTCGTTTTTATCATGATCCAAATGATTCTTAGATTTAGCACAATGAAGAGATTTGATGCTGTACTTGCTATGTAGGTGGCAGCGTCCCCACAGGGCCCCTGCCTCACCCACACATGGTCACCCTGTGTGATCACCATCCCCAGTCCAGAAGAGCGTAGAGAAAGGGGGCGTGGGGAGTGGAGTGGCCTCCAGTCTCAGGATTGCCAGCTGCTGCTGTGAATCCCCTCACCCCTCGCCAGCCTTCCGTGCACCCCAAAATGCAGCGCCAAAACACAGCGACTCATCTTACGCCTTAGGAATAGAGGGGGTTTGTGCTCACTTTACTTCGTTTCTTACCACCCTACTCAAAAAGGGACAGTTCAGCTAGTCGTGTTAGATGGAGCATTGGCATTGACCAAGGCCTGCTACCCCCTCCGGTTACAGTTCTGATGTAGAAAGACTGCTTTGGCTCTTATAGAGCTTTGCGAAAAGGCACATTGATTGCTCTTCCTGTGTGTAGAATTTAATGCTGCTGTATCTAGACGTTTCTGTTCCTTCAGTTCGGACCATGACTCATAAGCTCCTTGTCATTCCCTGTTTGTTTGTGGTCACGGGCACTCAGCGTTCCTCCGGGCTGGTGGGGGTGGCTTTTGGGAAGTCTGGCTCTCTCACCACCATGACTTTACAGGAAAGGGTTGGCTCACCAAAACACTGCCTGGTCCTCAGACTTACAGCACTGTGATAGGACTCCAAATCGTCTCACTAAAATACTGTACTTTATAGACATTTCACAATGCAGTGAAATAATGGCATTTCATGTGGCCAAGAAGGCTTGGACGAGCCCGGGATGAGGCCTTCTGGTGTGTGCATGTGTGCACACGTCCAGAGAGCTAGCAACACTCAGTGGATACACACTGTGGCTTCCATGTAGGCCATTCTTCAGATACACTGTGATAAGTTCTTTTACAAATATCTATAGTTGTGACAAACTGTTGGTTTTCAGGTGTGCTTAATTAATCTTATTAAATGCAGAAATAAAGATAGCGTCTCCCGACTTATTAAAAACACCCCTAGCAGTCGATGTGAATTGTGGCAGCAGGTTTGTTTGCCAGGGAGTGAGAAACCTGGGTCTAAATGTCTGACCCCACTGTGGAGAAGCAACCGCTGACTAATAATCGCGCTTATTTCTGAGTTAAAAAGGACCCATACTTAGTCCTTCAGACAGAATTTTCGTATACATATATGCAGAAGTTCCTGAGTATTACTGAGTATTAAGTAGCAATCTGTCAGTTACTAAAATTTGTAAAATCTATTTATGAGAGGTTATTAGACCATACTGTGTTCATTTGTTTTTGTAATCAAGGTGACTAAGAAAATAATTTCAGTTGTGTAAATAAAATCATGTATCATAAAATGTGTAAACTTCTTTTCTCTTTTTACCCTCCTAGTTGGACACACCAGATTTCTGATGTTGATGTTTTTGTACACGAATTAAAATGTCACAAGGGACCCCAGCATGGTAGCCATTGCTGATATTACTGGATTTCTCACACAATATACACATAAATAGGCACATTGATAGTAGCTGTCAAAAACTCGGCTGACCCCACCTTTGGAGAAATTCCTTCCTTCCGGCTTTCTTCCCTAGAATAAAGCAGCAGCCAGTGTTGACTTTCGGTGTTCTCAGTGTTCTAGCATTTTGCTTGCTGTCAGTTTCTCTTTTCTTTTTTCTTTTTTAAGTTTATTTCTTCTGGGGGTGGGGGGCCTCCAACAGGATCTGCAGTGCTGCCCTTCTTCCCCAGCCTCAGCCAGCCAGCATCACGGGCATGCACACCCATGCCCAGAGTGCACAGGGGGACCGTGAGATGAGAACATGGGAACTTCCCATGTGGCTTCAGCATTGGCGTATGGTGCTGCTGCTGCCTCACCACGGCTGGTTTCTTGCTGCTGATTTCCTGAAATGAGTTGGAGTTGTGGGAAAGAGAGTGTAAAATGCAGTCATAAATAAAGGTCCATTGGAAGTTGGAGGAAAAATGCGCTCTTTTCAAGAGCATAGACCCTCTATGAAAAGTATTTGTGTATCTGTATTTTGTTCTTGTTTTTTTCCCATGAAAAAAAAACTTACATTTTCCCAGACCAATTACACTGGCACATAGATACCACCACTGCATAGGAGGCTGGAAGCTGCATGGGGGAGGCCAGGTTCAGTTCCTAGACCAACCTGAACATGCTGGGCAGGAGGACAGCGACACATGACAGCCTTTTGAAATTACCTTGTTCTGTCTCTCCCTCTCCCCTTTCTTCCTGCCAGCTCTCATGAAGGATTCCTTCCAACCATGAAGCCAGCTTATTTGGATAGAAACTTAATTGAATATGTCTAAGACCAGGACTTGGACAAATATTGTGTAAAAGAAAATTCAAAGGAAAAGTATAATTTCTGCCAATATAAAGCAAGCATTTTTCTCCGGGCAGGCAGAATAGGCCTCTTCTTCCTGTGAGAATATTCACACAGTGAATGCGCTCCCCTCACAACTGGAGGGTTGTTCCAGGAAGTCCCAAGACATCCTTCTGTGGCCCTAAAAAAAGAGGCTGCTAACAGTGGGTGTGCATCCCTCATCTTGAGTGTGAATATGCATAAGGACCTTGTCCTGTTCTCGTGTCCATACAGAAGGCACCTCTCTGGTGGGACTGTCCACCATCGCCCTGTCCTTATGATAGTAGCCTTAACTAGAACAAGTTCATCAGTTCTTGAGGGATCTAGGGCTCACACAGAGGATCGTCTTAGCTGAGCTCCTAAGAAACCAGAACCTGTATGTAAAGAATTGTTCAATGTGGGGCACGTTGTCGTGTCCTGCAGCTGAGGCCTGACAAATGGCTGTCCAACAGCACCAATGGTAAGCTTCATTCCCACAGATACTGAGGCAAACGGGAACAGCCAAAAGAAATCGGTCAGTCTCTGTAACTATGATTTTGAGTGTTGTGTCGAGTGAAAGGTTATTTTTGCAGATTTTTCTGGGATGTGTTAAATTGCAGGACCTGGCCAACAGGGATCTCTCAGCTGGAGCCCAGACGGGAATTTTGATGGGGGGAGGGGGGGAAACATCTTGCTGTAGTGTCTGCAAGAATGTCAACATCACAGGGAACTGGGCCAGGCAGCATGGAAGGAGTCTGTCCCAAGACTACCCCAGACATGGCAACCTCAAGAATTCCCTACCACACAAGACAGACTAACTTGTATCCTTTCTGAAGATACTGAACAAGTTAAAATAGGTGTTGGCAAGCCAGATAAGAAAAGCACATCTAAAAGCTAAAAAAAAAAAAAAAAAAAATTCATTTTTCAAGGTATGAACAGTTGTGATATTTTATATACAATATTTACTATGCAAACTGTCAATTTCTTAAATAAAAATATGAAGTTCATCTTAAGTGTCCAAGTTTTTTTGGATCTTCATCAATGTTGTAAACAATACCGGGGCAGCACTTCCCTTTCTGGCTATTTTCGTTTCTCACTTTACTCCAGTCATTTTCTGCACTCCTCCATGGAGACAGGGGTCTCAGAATCAGAAAGTGAAAGGACAGTGAGCTTTTTTACAGGAGGCAAGGGACTCAGGCCTGAGGACTGCAGTGCCTGCACCAGAGCCTTGGCTAAGAGCCTCTCCCACCAAGCACATATTCCGTGCCCTTTTTCAGAGTTTTGAAGAGCTTAGGCCAGCCCGTGGCTAATGGTTAAGGCAGCTAGATCCCACATGGCCGACAGCAGTTTGAATCCCAGCCCTAGTGGCTTAAAAAATACACTGGGTGCATGTGTGTGTGCCTAAAATCCTGACATGAGAAATGGAGTAGGGATGCAGCATGACCAGCACTCATCAGGGAGCTCTCTCTCTCTCTCTCTCTCTCTCTCATGAATGCACATATCCTGTGGCAATTAGTAAATAAATAAAAGTGTTGACCATCCTAGTCTAGAAAAAAAGTCAAGCAAAGAATCATTGCAAGGAAGCAAGTGACCAGGTAGGATTGACAACAGGATGGTATTGGGGTTGAGATCCAATTACCAGGAAGTGAGATGGCTCTGGAGTCTTGACCAAATGGATATCCCCATCCTTTTAGTTTCTTTAGTGACAAGATGAAGGGTGTTCCAAGGGCTAGTGAAAGATACAAGAAGACCTTTGGATATAAGGCTTTCAACTACAGGTTGGATCCTTTCCCTGGCTCTAGCTTCAAGGGATATTAGAGAAATTTGGGTAATGGTTTCGTAGGCTCCATCTGAATTTTAGTAGATTCTCCTCCAATTCTTTTCCCCACATCATTGGAATATTGAGCCTATAGAGTGCCAGGACAGTGTCCATACCTGCTATAGTGCCAGATAAGCTCCTGGGTTATGCATTAAATCAATGGAAGTAGCAATGGTATTCACAACAGATTCAACTTGCTCATGAATAGATGAATCCTTTGGAACCTCCGAAAGAGTTCCAAAGTCTCTGGTCTCCATTTCATATTGTGATACCATTTGAAAAGTTTCTCCCTGTTTAATTTGCAGGGGTGGTATCACAAAGCAGGAAGGAATGTTTTGCAATCAAGCACTCAAGGCTTGCAGTTAAGAGCAAGGGAATAAAGAAACTTCAGATTATTTGAAATGCTTACTACCTGTGTCAGATGTTTACCCCCAGGAAGAGGCTGAATAGAAGTGGCAGGGTTTAATGTTGAGAGAGTAGTGCTTGGATTTCCCAGACAGTAGTGAGATTGCCATCTGTAGTAGGTAAAATTGTGTCCCCCCAAAAGATATGTTCAAGTCTTTACCCTGAAACTTGTGAATTTGCCCTTATTTGGAAATAGTCTTTGTAGATGTGATCAAGGTAAGACGAGGTCATACTGGACAAGGGTGCACCCTCATCCAATGATTGGTGTCCTTAGGAGAGAGAAATCTGAACCACAGGCAGACATAGGAGAATGCCATGTGGGGTCAGAGGTAGAGACTGAGGTGATGTATTGATAAG